GTTCAAGTGCAGCCTTCTAGTTCTGTTGCTATTTGTGTTGTATTTGTATCCCCTTTCATTCATTCTTTGAAATGTTAATAAGCTTATTTAAAAGAACATCAATAGGCTGGACAAGCAGAAAATTTAAAAGCACCAGTGCTAACAAAAGAAAGAGGATATTAACATTTTTTGTCAAATAATTACAACAGACAATAAAAACAACAAAATATAGGCTAGTAAAACATAAATACCCAGTGAGGAGAGTTGGAAGCCTAAGCTTCATACGATTGCGAATCTGTCCAGAAAGAGACTCAACCAAAGCAATTCTACCTAGCTTGCTTTGAGGGGCTCCAGTCAATATTGATTTCAAACTTTCAGTTTCAGCTCGCCAAGCAGTCTCCAATGAATTCTCAGATGCGCCACTCCCAGACTGCGAAGAAGCTATAGAAACAGATTGCCCTATCAAAGCAACCCATGGAATATCAGAGGTTTTAGGGGGTCCCTGGTTCAATAAGAGAGCCTGCACCGCTGCAAGGGCTTTTGATTCTGAAGCAGCTTGATCAATTTTACTGATAACACCAACAGTTCTGGTGGCTACAATTGAAATCAACAAAAAGTTTTAGATGAACTGGTACAATGAGGATGATCAGGTACAACACAAGAAAGGAATTTGTAAACTTAAGAGGTTTAACTGTGACTAGGACCAATTCTCTCAAATGCTTAAGCTGTTCGGTTGAGGTTTATGAAAGGCTTTACATTGCCTCTGGGATTAAAGAATATTGCACAGGCTCACTTTACCTCGTGCTGAAATTCAACTTTATTTAGAAAAATGACTTCTGCAAGGATCAAAACTCCAAACCACTCAGTCATTCGGATTATTACCATGTCAAGGACCAACTCTCAAAAGCTGATAGGTTGAGGCTCATGATTGGTGTTATACAGCTAACAAAATGCTTTTTTATTGTGGGGGGTTGCAAAACAAAAGCTGAAAACTTACATTCTGCGTCATACTCCTTAGCTACTCTAAGGGCTCGTGATGATGAAATTTCTGGCGCCTGAGCAGCAGGGACTACTACCAGCAAAATAGCATCATTGTGCTCAACATATTCACTGATCTAAAAATAGTGAAAAAGAAGGCCTCAAACTTCTCTACAAAGAGAATGCCTCATAAACAACCATATATCTAAGAAATAATTAAAATTGAACATACCCACCACCATCGGGATGCAGGCTAGTAGGACACAAAACAACATGTTATAATTGAAACTTAGGACAAGATAACATGTATCTACTCACCATTTTGTCATCCACTATCCGCTGGTCCAATCCAGGCAAATCAATCAATTTCAATGGAGGTGCTGTAGAATGTTAGAACAGAACAAAATGACTAAGTTTCATAATGCCAATGCATGTAAGCATAAAGGGAGGGAACAACATAATGGGCTTACCAGTACTGGTACGTAGTTTGAGATATATTTCATCACGGGTCCTACCAGATGAACCTTTGCTTAGTCTATCCTGTAGAGAGTGTCGAAGGGCACCTATGAGAAGAAATGAGAAAAGCGTAAGTAGATGAGAAAGCAGATGTTTCTTAAACAATTGAGGTGTGAAAGTGGGCCTTACTTGCAGAAACCTGTTGATTTTTATTTTCAATTTGCAGGATGATTGACTTGCTGCTTAAAGAGGTGTCTCTATTCAATTCAATGCTAATGGGAGCCCTGGTAGCACCATTCTCACCGGTTGGCTGCAGTTTCCAAGTGATTGATTAAGTGGGCAAATAAGAATAAGATTAGAGATTAAAGAGAGGAGGATAAGGGAAATAGACAATACCAAAACGGGATGTCCAATCAGGCTGTTCAAGGCAGCAGATTTTCCAGCACCCTGATCCACCACCGCAATTGTATTCATTAATCACAACGGATCCAATCAGTGCAATTACCCCATGACATGTGCTAGGTATGTAATCTTGATTGATATTGGAGACAAAAATGTGTGTTGAAGAAAAACTTACGACATTGCCGAGCGCAACGACATTGAGGAAAGTGGAAGGGCGCTTGTAGTTGTCGACGTCTTCGTCGGCGAGGACGGCGGCAGCTTGGCGCATGGAATCGGAGAGCTGGACCAATTCCTCGATTGCCTCCATCGGATCTGGACCAAGTTAGGTTACCGGCGATCGTTTGATTTGGGTGCAATGAAGAGAGAGCAGAAAAGGAGAAAGGAGACTATTAACCAAACTGAAATTAAATCAGCGCAACCAACTGCACCCTCTCTGTGATTGTGATTGTGATTGTGATTGCAAATTTCCAACTTTCTTCTTCCTTTTTGCTACATTACATTACATCCCTCTATTCGCGCTTTTTACCTTTATCAGAAATCACTTTAGTAAAATAACAACTTGCCTTTGCCCCATCGCACTTCCAAATTCTAATACACTTTTAGTTACGTTACCAAGTACGAACATTAACCCAAACAAACAAAAGCCTAATCATTTCCATATCATAGCATAATTCAATAAATTTAAATTTTCTTCACGCCACCCTTCTTCTACTTTATGCCACTGTACAACTTTAATTCGGTCTCAATTTTTTTTAATGCAAAACTACTAACCGTACCCATGACTTATTTATTTACATTTGTGTGTGTTTTTATATGGAAAATCAACTTCAATATTTAATACAAATGAGTATCTTGTTAGTAAGAGTTTTTATTCAACTAGAATACAAGTATAAAAATCGTCGAGATATATTAAAAATTAATTATTTTATGTGTTTTTTCTCTATATTTTTTTTTAAATTACCAAAGTTTAGAAATATCTGCATTATACTATTATATATTATAAAAAAATATTTATAACGTAAACATTAAAGTTTCACTTGAACTTTGCTAACTTTTAAAAAGTATATAGAAGTTTAAAAGGCATATAAAAGGTAATTATTTTTTTAATATAAAATTTTTTATACCTGTATTTTTTATTTTAAAATAAATTATTAATAAACAAAATAATATAATATAAATTATTTATCAAAAATCTAAAATATAATTTATATGTTTAAAAATATTTATTTATACAAATTTTAAATATAATTTATTTATTGAAGCATAATATTTATTTACACATATAATTAATTATAAATTTTAGTTATATATAATAATTATTTAATTTGTGCAAACGTTAAAATACTAGTTTAATATAAAATAATAGATTATATTGTTTCAAATATTATCATTCAATTATTAAAAAGAAGTTAATAAAAAAATTTAGATTAAAATAAGACTTTATGCATGATCATATTCAAACTAATTTTTTTAATATGAAAAGCATAATAAAAGTCGAATTCAATCTCAGGTTTTAATTAGTAGGAAAAAAGAAATTTAACTTAATTTTTTTAAAAAGTTACATTCATTTTTAAAATCAAGAAAAACTTGTGAATTTTTCTATTGAGAAAGGAAAGAAAAAAAAAAAACAGGAACCTACAGTCCTACACCCTATGATATGTGACACCTAAAGCATTAGCAACCATAAGAGAGCTGAACTGTTGAGGACAATTGTCCCATGTTAACAAGCTAGAAACTTCACTTGAACCCATCTTGGCCAACCTGTTTGCGCATGAATTCCCTTGTCGATACTATGTCGAAAGACCAAGTTCCAACTCCTAGATGTGAAATCCTTAATCTATGAAATCACTACCACGTACATTTGTGAATTTGATTTTTAGTTTGAAAAACACACATCCTGTTACATTTGATAATAACCCTTTTCACAATCATCACCAATACTAACACATTTACCTACATTATAAACACTTCTAATTGTCATTGTTGTATAATTATCATTTTCACCATTAACACTACAATCACTATCATTATTACTGTCGTCACCATTGTTATTTATTATTATTATTAATTTAATTGATATATCAAATTATATTAAACATCAAGATCAACCTGATACAAATAGAATGTTAAAAGTATATTACAGGAAGAGAAGTAGAATAATACACTTTGAACATCCTATTTGTACCCTGTTTCCTATAATACACTTTTAACATTCTATTTGTATCATGTTGTTACTGATGTCTAACAAATTAACATCATGATTTGGGTTAATAATTGGTTCTCGATGTATTAGGGTGTTTGGATTGATAGCAGAAAACTAAGGTAGATACATAATCACGGTGGATTCAGCACAAACCGAACCATCACAAAACTAGAAACATTTTTTTTCTTCAATTTAGCATAGAATTTTGTTCCATAAGAGTATCACTAATAATAATTATTTTATTCATTATTGATCATATATATATATGATATATTAAGTTTAATCAAGTTCACTCATAAAACAATTTTTTTTTGTTACACTTGCCCCTCTCACGCATTATATGAATTTACACCTAGTTTGGCAAATGTAAGAAACTACTGTTTACTTGTACTAGTGCGTTTGGAATGATAATAAAAAACTACAGATTCAACACAAAAGTAACTATTTGTTGCTTCAAGAAATTGGGGTGAGTGCATATCAATCTGTTTCCAAACTTGCACTACATAAATTTGGCAAAGTAAAAGCCACAAGAATGTCTTTGTTAATAAGATCCACCAGCTCAGACAATTAAACGAAGCAAGCATAAATGTTCTGCCTTTTTAACAGTAGAACCTTGTTTTTCTTATATTCTGAAACTGAGATAATTTATTACTGAAATATGGTAAAATTTGTCGGGTAAATGATGGTACCCTTCAGAATCAACAAGGTCTCACAAATTTATAGTTATACAAAAAGATTTCTTTGGACAATTTATGAATACATACTTATAAGAGAAGAAAATAGAAAGAAATTAAATCAAACTTTTTCTATTAATTAAAATCAAATTATACATCTGTCTTTAGAATCGTTAGACAAGAGTGCTAAGTATTAATTTTTTTACATATAAGAGCAGTTTAATTCATTTTTATTTTCTTGTCCTATAAGAACTTATCAAGAAAGTTCATCCAAATAGGATCAATGTAAAACATTGCAATATGAATAATTTAAAATCCTCTAACTGGTCGTTAAATATTGAATGCTTTTTGTATTTCAAAGACATTATTTAAGTGCATTTTATTTTCTTTTGTAAAGTATTAAGAGTTGTAGGAGGAATCATAGGAGGATATAACATTACTCTTGCAATATATATATACACACAATCTACAAACAAAGCATGTCTATACCCACATCCTCTTGCAAGTAAAATCATATATAACCTGAAATAGACTTCTAGAATCTGTCTCCTCCTTCACCTTTAGAAGGCGAGCAACTTTCGAAAAACCATCATGATATCTAGACAAAATATCTTCTTTTATATCCGATTTACTCTCATGTTGAGTGCGCTTTTCTCTTGATAATTCCCACTGCATTGCCCATATGGCTAGGGGGCGCATGTAACATAAAGATCTATATTCATCTTTAGTGGTCCACGCTTCAGGAGTTTGGAAAGAATAACTGTTGATCAAGTAGAAGAATCTTAATTAGATAGAATTAAGAATACATAAAAAAGATACATGTCTGTAAGTATTAAAGATCCACATGAACAAGCTAGTACAGAAAAAACAAGATGGCCAGTATTATACATTTGGCATGTGTTACCCATTAACTCGAAACGGCAATGCAAAGGATCCCAGGCCTTAATATGAAAACAGGACCATGCATTATTCAAGTGATAATTTGTGAGATCACACAATTACCTAAAACACTCTACAAAGTTATGATGACCAATAATCAAAATGGCCTATCTTTCATGGCTATTAACAGGTACACCTATAGGTCAAACAAGAACACAGGCAGTTACTGAATGTACCATTATTAGTGTTAGTGAATTTGATATTTTTCAAGAGTAATGCTATATCCTCCAACAAATCTTCCTAATACTTTATTAAGAAAGTATTAAATGAAAAAAATGAATTGATGTAATGTCTTGGAATGTTTAAAAGCATTCAATATTTTATCTAGTAAGCAGGAGGATTAGTAGGACTTTTAGAAGGATTTAGAATAATTCTTTTTTCAAAAAGAAATGAAAGAAATAAATAGAAATCATCTAAAGAGGTATGAGGAAGCAAAAAAGAGAGCAACTGCAAAAGGTACTGCTTAACAAGCTTTCACAGTTTCTGTTATTAACAACTTCTAAATCAAAAAAAATATCTTCAAATTAAAACCAAACATATTAGTTTAGCTTGTAGAAAATCCTTAGCTGTAATGAGTTTGTTCATTTTATGACCTCTTGCCTTGGCATAATGTAAGAGTCCACACTATTCAACCAGTATTGATGTACATGAAGGACAGAGATTGAGATCCAGTTTGGATTAGTTTCTAAACTATAGGATCTTTTCAATCGTTGAACCTTACTAGTTACTATTAAAACTTTTCCAAGGCAAGAATACCAAGCTCTTTTATGTTTGTAGGTGCATATGGAGAAGTTAGATGAGAGATTTCCTTAAAAAAGTTGAGATACATAAGTTATTTTTATTTATGCAAGAAGTTTGATTCGTTTTTTTTTCTCCCTAGGGACTCGTTCTCATTTAACATATGAACTCTTGCATGGTACATTATATTACAGGGGTAAACTAGTAATACCGAAAAGATTTTCTACAATTCCCTTGATTCTTAGGGAATTTCATGGGTCATGACACACCATTAGGAGGGCACTCAGGGTTACTTTCGTATTTACAAGATGGTTGCAAGGTTACTATGTTGGGAAGGAATGAAGAAGCGGATTTAAGAATATGTGCAGCAATGTGAAATCTGCCAACAGAATAAGTATCAGGCCTTAATTCCTTCTGGATTATTGCATACTCACCCTAACACGTGTGGTATAATGTGTCTATGGATTTGATAGGGGACCTGTGGTTAAACAGGTCTATGTTAGGAGGGAAAAGGGGGGTAGTTAGTTATTTTTGTAACTAATTGATGACAGTCGGGTAGGGACTGTTAAATTGTATAAATAGGAGGGAATAAGGGGGAGGAAGGCATTCGGAAGTATTGTATTCTAGGAGAGATAGGCACTCTCGAATTGCCTAGTTCACTGTATTCTGTCCTTCTGGTTGTGTTGACAGCAAGGACTCAAGAGCAATAATACTACAATCTTTCGTTATTTTTCAATTCTCTCTTAATATCCAGTTGAGACCTATCAACTCGCATCGGAGCTGGTTGCGAACCTGAGGCGATCAAGAATGAAGTGATGGGCTGGGTGGGAAAGATGGAGAGATATTTCAGGTTGAAAGGCGTCTTGGAGGACGAGAAGGTGGAGGTGGCGATGGTGGCGTTGCAAGGGAAGGCACTGGCGTGGTTTCAGTGGTGGGAAAGTAGAAATCAAAATCCCTCATGGATGGATTTCAAAGGTTCGTTGCTGAGAAGATTTCAGCCCGTGGTGGCACAAAACCCTTTTGAGGTGCTGTTGGGCCTTAAGCAGGAAGGGAGCGTGGCTGAGTATAGGGAGAAATTTGAGACCAATTCGGGACCTCTCAAGATTGGGGATGCAAATTATTTGAAGGGCATTTTCTTGAATGGTCTCAAGGAGGAGGTTAAAGCGGAATTGAGGTTGCATCAACCTAATTCGTTGGAGGAAATTATGGACTTGGCTCTTTTGATAGAATCTCGAAATTCAATTTTGAAGAAGGAAGTGGGGGAATCGTCGATGACCATTCACAAGGGAGGATGGAGCAGGAACATCTATGGCAATCGGAGGGACGAAGAGAAGAAAAGAAATGATGAAACCACTGAAATGAAAAGGGAGGAGAGTAGGAAAGGGGAAGGAAAGCTGAATTGGAAAAATATGACGGATGCGGAGTACCAAGAAAGGAGGAGAAAGGGAATTTGTTTCAGATGTGAAGAAAAATACTCTCCTGGGCATGTGTGTAAAAACAAGCAAATTAGAATAATGTTGCTTGAAGAGGGCGTGGAAGAGATGGAGGAAGAAGAGGAGATCCAATGGAGTGGTAAGTCTTCCACCACGACACTAGATTTTCGTAGTATGGTGGGAATGACTTCCAAACATTCATTCAAATTTTGGGGAAAGATAGGGGATAATTCAATCTTGATTTTGATTGATTGTGGAGCTTCCCACAATTTCATTGCTGAATCGGTGGTGAAGAAATTGGGGCTGAGGGTGGAGAAAACAGAACAGTATTGGGTGAAGGTGGAAAAGTAAGAAGCAGAATGTAGTGGCAAGATCTAGTGCAGAAGCAGAATATCGTGCTATGGCCTCTGCTACGTGTGAGCTTATTTGGCTCAAACAGTTGCTTAAAGAACTGAGATTTGGCGAAGTTACACAGATGACTCTCATATGTGATAACCAAGCTGCCCTTCATATTGCCTCAAATCCAGTATTTCACGAGAGGACCAAACACATTGAGATCGATTGTCACTTCATTCGTGAGAAGATTTTATCTGGGGACATTACTACTCAGTTTGTTAACTCTACTGATCAGTTGGCAGATGTCTTCACCAAATCATTACGGGGTCCTAGGATTGATTATATTTGTAACAAGCTTGGTGCATATGATCTATATACACCAGCTTGAGGGGGAGTGTTAGATATAGTTTTATCCTATGGGCCTAGGCCCACTACTTTGTATATAAACACATCTTGGCTATTTTTAATGAAAACTTGATCCAAACTATTTTCCATATTTCAATCTTTTTATAATGAAATTCAGAATCAATTTGGTGTTTCTATTCGTACTTTTTGTAGTGATAATGCTTGTGGAAACCTTTCTCACTCCTTTCAAGCCTTCATGGCTTCCCATGGTATTCTTCATCAAACCTCTTCTACATATACCCCTCAACAAAATGAGGTGGCCGAGCGCAAAAATAGACACCTAATTGAGACCACTCGCACCCTCTTACTTTATGGATACGTTCCTCAACCTTTTTGGGGTGCATCTACTTGATAATGTATGTTGATGATATTGTTCTTATTGGCAATGATCATCATGGCATTTCTAAGATAAAACATCTTTGCCATCACTTTCAGACAAAAGACCTTAGTAAACTTAGATATTTCTTGGGGATTGAGGTAGCACAATCTAAAAATGGAATTGTAATATCTCAAAGAAAGTATGCATTGGATATTTTAGAGGAAACTGGGCTAATGAATTCCAAACCCGTTGATACACATATGGACCCTAATGCTAAACTTCTACCAAGTCAGGGGGAGCCTTTCTTAGATCCTGAGAGGTACAAAAAATTAGTTGGGAAATTGAATTATCTCACGATAACTCGTCCTGACATCTCCTTTGCGGTTAGTGTGGTGAGTCAATTTCTCAATTCTCCATGTGCTCCAGGAAAAGGTTTATTATATGACTACAACAATCATACTCAAGTTGTGGAGTACTCGGATGCAGATTGGGCAGGCTCTCCCTATGACAAGAGATCCACCTCAGGTTATTGTGTCTTTATTGGTGATAACTTGATTTCCTGGAAAAGTAAGAAGTAGAATGTAGTGACAAGATCTAGTGCAGATGCAGAATTTCGTGCTATGGCCTCTGCTACTTGTGAGCTTATTTGGCTCAAATAATTGCTTAAAAAACTGAGATTTGGCGAAGTTACACAGATGTATTAAACCAACAGTTGTATCCCATAAATTAATCCCTGAAATTCTACAACATAATAATATCCCATAAATTTTGGGATTCCTATCCAACAGTTGTATTAAACCAATATTCGGCCCAAAGAAGCCATAGAGCCCATCCCTCGGGCTGATCAGTAATGAAACATCTCAGATATGTCTCTAAACAGCGGTTTGTTACCTCCGTTTCTCCATCCGTTTGTAGATGGTATGATGTAACTCATGAGCAGCTTTGTACCTTGCATCTTGAAAAATTCTTTCCAAAAAAGACTCATAAAGAGAGGGTCCCTATCACTAATCACCGAATTGGGCACCCCAGGAAGTATTACCACTTCCTTAACAAATACTTCAGCTATGGTTTTTGTTGTATATGGATGTTTCAAAGCAATGAAATGACTGTATTTGGATAAACTATCCACAACCACCAATATTGCTTCAAAGCCCTTGGACCTAGGCAATCCTGTGTAAAATCGAGAGAAATATCCTCCCAAATCCTCTCCAGAATAGCCAATGGTTGCAACAATCCTCCTGGGGCAGCAGTAGTATACTTTTGACGTTGGCAAGTATCACAAGATTGCACATACTTCATGATATCAGTCTTCATTCCTTGCCAATACAGATTTACAGCTACGCATCTATATGTTCTTAAAAATCCGAAGTGGCCTCCTTGAGGAGTTGAGTGAAACTCATCAAGTAATTTGCGAATCCAAGGAGACTTTGTTGGAATCACAATTTTGTTCTTAAAAAATAGAATACCATGCTAATAAGTGAATCCTAGATGAGCCTCTCAATCTTGTTGCAAGTCTTCAATCACCCTCTTAAATGTTCATTCGGGAAGTGGTGCGACTGCATGGGTTTCCCAAGTCCATTGTCACGAATAGGGACAAGTTATTTTTGAGTCAATTCTGGTCAGAATTGTTTAAATCAGCAGGCACTAAATTGACATATACTTCGGCCTATCATCCCCAATCGGACGGACAAACAGAAGTGGTTAATAGGTGCTTGGAGGATTATTTGAGGTGCTTCGTGGGCGATAAAACCAAGCAATGGCCTAGGTGGCTAGCTTGGGAAGAATTTTGTTTCAACACACATTATAATCAGTCGGCGGGTATGACTCCATTCAAGGCGGTGTATGGAAGGGATCCCCCAGCGATTTTTAAGGCTCCAACCTTTCCGTCCAAAGTGGAATCCGTGAATGTAATGGCAGAAGAGAGAGATGGAGTTTTGGAGGAGTTAAAGGCGAACATTGGTAAGGCACAGCATAGGATGAAACAGCAAGCAGATAGGAAGAGAAGAGATGTTAACTTTGAGGTGGGCGATTGGGTTTATCTCAAAGCCCAACCTTATAGACTCAAATCGTTAGCGAAAAGGAGAAATGAGAAATTAGGCCCGAGATACTATGGTCCTTTTCGGGTGTTGGCTAAGGTTGGTGCTGTGGCTTACAAGTTGCAATTACCGGAGAGCAGTAGAATTCATCCAGTCTTCCACGTCAGTAAATTAAAGAAGGCCGTCCCGCTGGAGAAGCAAGTACAGTCCCTTCCGGAGGAAATTTCTGTAGATTGGGAATTGCAGCCACAGCCTGCAGAACTCTTATCTTACAGGTACAGCAGAACAGGAGAACTGGAGGTGCTCATTCAGTGGCACAACCTACCGGACTGTGAGAATTCGTGGGAGACAGCAACCAAGATGCAGACTGCATTTCCACAATTCTTCCTTGAGGACAAGGTGATTGCTCGAGGGGAGAGTATTGATAGGGGACCTGTGGTTAAACAGGTCTATGTTAGGAGGGAAAAGGGGGGTAGTTAGTTATTTTTGTAACTAACTGATGACAGTCGGGTAGGGACTATTAAATTGTATAAATAGGAGGGAATATGGGGGAGGAAGGCTATTAAATTGTATAAATAGGAGGGAATAAGGGGGAGGAAGGCATTCGGAAGTATTGTATTCTGGGAGAGATAGGCACTCTCGAATTGCCTAGTTCACTGTATTCTGTCCTTCTGGTTGTGTTGACAGCAAGGACTCAAGAGCAATAATACTACAATCTTTCGTTATTTTTCAATTCTCTCTTAATATCCAGTTGAGACCTATCAGGATTTCATAGGAGGACTACCTAAAGCTGGAGGAAAGGATACAATCATGGTGGTGATAGATAGATTAATGAAATATGTCCACTTCATAGCTATATCTCATCCCTACTTGGCTAAGGAGATAGCTGAAGTGTTTGTTGAGTAAGTGGTGAGATTACACGGATCCCCTTTATTCACTGTAACTGATCTAGACAAGATTTTCATTGGTTCACTTTGTACTGAATTGTTCAAATTAACTAGTAAATTCCGGTTCAGCTCAGCTCACAATCCTCAAATAGATAGCAAATCGAGGTGATCAATAGGTGTATTGACTTATCTGAGAAGTTTGACTGGGACCAAACCCAAGCAGTGGCCTAAATGACTAAGTTGGGCTGAATTTTTGTATCATACTAACTATCATGAATCCACCAAAAACAATCTCCTTCAGGGTAGGGACTCACCAACAACAGTGAGAGGTGATGTAGGGTTGACAACAGTGGAAGGAGTCAATTAGTAATGCTATTCAAATTAAACCTCCACGTGCTTAATAGAGGATTCGGAGATTAAGGTGCAGCCTGTAGAAGCTTTTTGGCAATTCATCAAAATCAACAAGGGATCATGGAAGTTTAGATTCAAGGGCACCAGCTGCCAGAGTGTGAAAATTCGTGGGCAACCTTGACTTACAGGAGCAGTTCGCAGGACTCCACCTTGGAAAGAGGTGTGTCTTGATGGGGAAGGACGCCCCGAGGCCAACAGTTGAACACGTGTATAAGAGGAGGAGATACAGGTGCGATGCACCCAATCAAGGCCTTGGAGGGAGAAATAAGAAAAAAAATGCTCAGATAGCACTTAGCAGTGCTGGGAATGCATCCCATGCAGGTTAGTTAGGAAGAGAAGTGCTTATAGAGGGAATCAGGGAAATAAGGAGTGAGGAGAGGGAGGCATGAATTGGAATCTGGATCCATGGGAGGGACTATGCTCTTGAATGACCAGTCGTATTTTGTCTTTCTTTTTCTCGTACTGGGGTACACCCTGGCATATATAATCCTGAATATCCTTCATCAGGCCTTATTCTATAATACAGTCAATTACTAGCTCATTTTTTTTGTTGTTGTTTTATGCTGGAACCTATCGAGACGCAACTCAATATAAACTTCAGTCTGCAACTTTACACAAGTACCACTAAGAGGACAATATAAATTATCTTTACCCGAGTCCATTGTTGGACCACGCAGTTTCATATACCCCACCAGCAGTTTGAAATGCCATGTCAATCATATTTTCTTGGATCATTGTTGCAGCTAAGGCATATGTGACGCCTGACCATATTTCCCGTGATTGCATTGTCGACATGTCAACATTTCCATCAGGTAACATCCCATTTACAGCACCACGCCTTCCGTCCTGTACTTTCATAACATTGTAATTATAAACCATTTTAAGTGCGCTTCTACTTTTCTTTTCTTCAACAATTGGCAAAAGACCACATGCTCTAGCATACCTGCAAAAAAGGAAATAAAAAGTTCCAATTCCATTTTAGATGTTAGCAAGAGAAAGCTACATGTGCAATAATTAAGAATAACCCCAAAGTTCAACTTGTATAGAGAACTAATCCTACTACATTGTTCAGATGCTTGCATTTTCTACTCGTAAAAGTTTAGTTTCAAAAGCCATGCTTGTATATGACAACAGCCAAAGTCTTTACCTACCAAGTGGGGTTGGCTACATGGACCAAATGCTGCCATTTTATTCTTTCAAAAATCAATTGTTTAGGGAATTAAAAATGAATCCCTTTTGTTGTGATTTTGGAATTGTGTGTCAATCTTTAGCACACATAACTCTTATTTATAATGGAAAAAAAATAAGGATTTACATGACATGATTTGTTAAGATATGATTAACCCTAATAAATTTTCACAATATCTTAACGCTCCCCCTTAAGCTGGAGCATATATATCATATGCACCAAGCTTGTTACAAATGTAATCAACCCAAGGGCCTTTAAGCGATTTTGTGAAGACATTTGCTAACTAGTTACTATAGTGGATGAACTCGGTTGTGATCTCTCCTAAGAGTACTTTCTCTCTTACAAAATGACAATTTATTTCTATGTGTTTAGTTCGCTTGTGGAAGACTGGATTGGAGGCATTGTGAAGAGAAACTTGATTATCATAGATGAGTTTAGTTCCCTGGGTGTCTCCAATTTGGAGTTGCTTGAGACGTTGTTGTCGCCATTTAATTTCACTCACAGATACTGCCATAGCACAATGTTCTACTTTCGCACTGGATCTAGCAACTATATTTTACTTCTTGCTTCTCCACGAAATCAAGTTACCTCCAATCAAAACACAATAGCAAGCAAGAGGTAGAGCTTCGATCTGATGATGATCTTGCCTAATCAGCATCAAAGTAACACACAATTTTGGAATTGCCTTTGTCCTCATATATAAGTCCACAACCCAACACCTTCTTGATATATCTGAGGATCCTCATGACTATAGTCCAATGGCTATCATGAGGATAGTTGATAAATTGGCTTACCACACTTACTAAGAATGCAATGTATGGCCTGGTGACCTGGTCATAGTTAGATAATTGAGTCTGCCAACGACTCTACGATATCTTTTCGAGTCATCCAATGGCTCCCCCTACCCGAAAGAAGCTTGATGTTGAGGTCCATCGGAGGGTCACTAAGGCGGCAATCAACCATACCAGACTAAGTGAGAATGTCCAAAGCATATTCCTACTGAGAAATGACAACACCGAAAGCAGATTGAGCAACCTCGATCTCCAAAAAATATTTCAGAGGGTCGAAGTCTTTCATCTGGAACTGACGTTGAAGGTGAGATTTGAGGTGACAAATATCATTGGAATCATCACCAATAATGACAATGTCATCGATATATACCACTAAATAAGTGCAAAGAAGTGAGGGAAGAAAATAAAGTGGTCAACCTCACATTGAGTCATATCAAATTCAATTAAGGTCGAGCTGAAGCGACCAAACTAGGCATGAGGAGATTGCGTCAAGCCATAAATAGAACGATGGAGGCGTCATACAAGGTGAGAGTCATCAGAAGTAGTAAAGCCGGGGGGCTAGTCCATATAAACCTCTTTGTGCAATTCACAATTTCAAAATACATTTTTAATATCCAATTGGTGCAATAGCCAATGACGAATGACAGCTATAGTAAGAAACAAACGAACAGAAGTCATCTTGACTACAGGAGAGAAAGTATCACCATAATCAAGGCCATAGATCTAAGTATAGCCCTTGGCAACCGACCTGCTTTAAAGTGGTCAATATTGTCATCTAGTGCAACCTTGACTGTGTACACCCATCGACAACCAAATGTAGATTTGTTAGGAGGCAAAGGCACCAACTCCCATGTGCCACTAGTCTGTACAACATCCGTTTCATTCAACATCATCTGTCTCCACCCATAATCAGCAATAATTTCACTTGTAGACCTAGGAATAACAACAAAATCCAAAGAGGAAACAAAAGAAAAATAGGAAAGATATAATTGATGACAAAAAAAAGTATATGCATATAAAGGATTAGGATTACGAGTAAATCAAATACCGTTGCAGATAACAATGGGAAGCTTGGGTAAAGGAGGTTCAAGTGCAGGGAATGTTGTTGGATGGTCGTTTGGAACAGGAGATGATGTTGGAGGATGTGTATGTGGAACCACCTGTGGATGTCGTATTCTTCATTGATAAACAAGTAATGGTGGTGGATCAACGACTAGTTGACTACAATCGGAGCTGGAACATCAAGTTGAGCATTAAGAGGAAGATGATTGTCAGCATCCTCAGAGAAGAAAGGAAAGGACTCAAAGAAAGAGATATCAGTTGAAACAAGGTACTGTTGAAGTTGTGGACAAAAGAAACAATATCCATTTTGGAGATGAGAATACCCAAGAAAGACACACTTGAAGAACTGTCAGAAAGTTTATCTCTTCCTGGACTGAGATCATGGACAAAACATGTACATCCAAAGACAAGAAGTGGGACAAGATAGAGGTCATGTTGTGGATACAAGATGGTGTATGGAATTTGATTGTTGAGAACGGAGGAGGGCATGCGATTAATCAAGTAACAGGCAGTGGGAATCATATTGCACCAGAAGCGAAGTGAAAGTTTATGATGAAGGAGAAGTATACGAATTGTCTCAACCAAATGGTTTTTGTGTTCAGCAACACAATTTTGTTGTGGTGTATGAGCGCAAGAGGTCTGATGAAGAATATCTTGTAAGGAGATAAAAGACTGGAATTTGGAAGACAAATATTTTGCATTATTAGTGCGCAAAACTTTAATTGACGTCCCAAATTGAGTAAAAATTTCAATGGAAAAACTTTGAAAAATATTAAAAACATCATAATAGTATTTTATTAAAAAAAAACCCAAGTGCAACACGAAATTTCATCAATAAACGTAACAAAATAAGAATAACCTAAAGTTGAAATGACTCGACTAAGTCCCCAACTATCAGAGTGAACCAAAGTAAAAGGGGATGCAACACATTTATTAACACTAGACCTATAGGACTGGTGGATATGTTTCCCTAACTAACACGACTCACACTGGATGAATTTAATTGAAGAAAAACTAGGAACTAAAAGAGGAAATTTCTCCAAGCTAAGGTGACCAAGACGCTGATGAGCAAGATCGACAGAAGTGGAGACATAAGTAATTGGTGGTGAAAAACGATACAATCCCCCAGACTCATGTCCTACTCCAATCGTCCGTTTGGTATGTCGATTTTGAACAAGAACAAAATTAACAAACAAGATAGAGAAATTAAGGGTGCGACTGTGTTTGCTAATGAAAATTAAAGTAAAAGGATAACCAGAAACAAACAAGACAGAATGTAAAGGGAGGTTAAAGAGTGGGTGTGTTTGACCAATGCCATGAACTTTAATCTGAAAACCATCTGCAAGAGTAACAGATGACAAGAAGGTTGAGAAAGACAAGTGAGAGAAAAGGGTTTGGTTACCAATCATATGATTAGAAGCACTAAAGTCAAGAATCCAAGGTCCAAAAGGAGACTGAGAAATAAAGACTACAAAATTACCAAACTGAACCACGACAGTGATAGGCAGGCAGATTATTGGGCTACCTAAAACTGAAGGAAATCATGATAGTCAGAGGCAAAAATAGTGTCATCGACATGAGAGGCAACATTGGTCACTTGGGCAACATTCGCTGATTGTAACCAATCTCAGGCCTTTTTGCGACAATCAGCTTTCATATGATAAAAAAAGTGACAATAATTACAACGACGATTCTATTTTTCATGGTTGCCTCCACGTCCACTACCATGATTAGATGAGTGTGAAACAAGAGCAAAGGAGTCAACAGAAGATGCAAAAGGATTGGCCACATTATGAAGAATGCAGAGATGCAATAACCGTTCACTAATCGTGTTGTATATAGGAACTACGTGGGCAGACAAAATCTGATTACGGACAAACTCAAGCTCAGACAGAAGACCAACTAGTGCAAGAATCATGAAGTATTGGTGTCGTTGCTGCTCAAAAGTCTCCTTATTAGAGGGATAAGGCATCAAGTTGTTGTAGTTAGCGATCAGACATTTGAGCTTACTCAGATATGTCTGCATGTCCATATTTTCAAGCTTGGTGGTCATCATAGTGGTGATAACATTGTAAAGGCATTGAACATTATTAGTGTAAACTTTTTTGGCCTTGATCCATACATCATAACACTTGTCAAAAGCTTGATATGAATGTTGAAGGGTTAAGGCAATGGAAAACCAAAGAATTGTATACAGCGAGGCATCAATTTGCTGCCATTGGGCTCGCTCATCCGTAGCAATGACAAAAGCTTTGGTGGTCAAGTGGTCGGCATGTCCTTGACCACAAAACCAAAGTTGAACCATAGTTGCCTAGGTTGTGCAATTGGCCGATCTGATCAATTTCTCGCACGAAATTAGGGCAATGTTGGTAAACGTTGTGGGTGAAGCGGAAGCAAGAGTGGTCATGGGAGATAAGGCAAAGAGGGACCAAAACCAAACAGGGCCAAGCAAATGCCAAATGGGGCCAAACAGGGTTGTCGGATGTAGTTTAGGGTCGTCGTATGTTGTCGACCACAGTCAAGGGGTCGCTAGAAAACAATGTCATGCACAAGTATTGTTCATGCGGTAAAAAAAATTCTAAGCTCTAGATACATGTTGTGATTTAGGAATTGTGCGTCAATCTTCAGCACAAATAACTCTTATTTATAATGAAAAAAAATAAGTATTTAAATGATATGATATGATTAGCTAAGATATGATTAACCCTGATAAATCTCCATAATATCTTAATACCTTTTAATGTTTTCACACCATTTTTTTCTTGTTCTTCCTCTACCTTTAAATCAACTCTTCTAATAGGCTTGTTGGCTTTATTTGGTCAACATCACCCCGAGGATTTAATGGGCTAAACATCCCAACCCATGTGCCTATAAGGGGTGTGTAGCTCTTTTAGTTAGATACAACTCTAAGAATCCATAAGGAAATAAAGTTGCATCATTATCATCAGCTATAGCTTTTGGCTTTAATGGAATGCTTGATCCAACTAGTGGTATTAAAGCAAGGTTGTGGGTTCAAATCCCGAGATGACACTTGGGGGAGAGGGGGGGGGGGAGATTGTTGCCTTTATTCGATCAATGTCACCCTAAGGATTTGAAGGACTTGACATCTCAACCTATGACACCTATAATGGGTGCAGACCCTTGAGCTAGACGAGAGGCTCTAAGAATTTTTAAAGAAATAAAGTTGTATCCTTACCATCAATTATGGCTTTTAGATTAGTGGTAAGCTCTTGATCCAACAAGGATCCTAAACATGGTTATCAATCTCGACTGATAACTCGTAAACTCGTACAAGATTACAAAATTGGTTGGTGATACCTATATAGCTTGTTAGTAATCTCGTTTTTGAGAAATCTCAGGTAATCTTGTGCAATCTCAAGTAATCTCGCGAGTTTACTTCGATATTGCGAGATTACGAACTTCACTCAAACCCCCCCCCCCCCCCGAAATGCATGTTTCACTTAGGATTTTCCCAAAACAAAGTTTTTTTCCTACTCTATGTGTCATGCGACTCTCCTTCTCCCTCTGTGCGTTCTTCCTCTCTATGTCATGCGTTCTGGTTCTCTCCTCCGCATCACCGTGCGTTTTGGTTCTCTCCTCTATGCCATGCATATTGATTTTCTCCTTCGTGTGATGCGTTCTGGTTTTCTCCTCTATGTCATGCGTCCAAGTTCTCTCCTCCGTGTTCTCTTTGCACTAGGGTTGTTCATTCTTTGTAGTGAAGGTTCTTTCTTTCCCCTTTCCCTTCCTTGTTTTATTTATTTTCTCTCATGTCCCATTTTTTTAATCTAGTCCATAAATATATTATACATGTAATAGTTAATATTTTTTAGACTTAATTTGAAGATATTAGTCTTTTTTTAGTTTTCTATTTACTATCATTTTATTTTTAAGAACTTGTAAGTTGTGTCTTGTGCAAAATTATGTATTTGTCACTAAAATTTGTTACTTTATTATTAGAATTTACTATTTTACTTTAATATGAAGTTAAATGTTAGTTATTAAGTTATTTATAAATATTTTAACATATTTTTTATATTAAGTAAACTCTCGAATTTACAATTAGTTTACAATTCGAGTTTATGGAGCCTTCACGAGATTATGTAAACTCTCGAGATTGACAACCTTGCTCCTAAATAATTAACAAAAGCTACCCTTTTATCTTAGTTGCAGCACATATGCACATACATAGTCAAGATCACAGAGCCAACAACTTGTTTTTACTGAATGAGTCCTTATACACTGAACAAATAAACCACATACATTTTTTCAGTCATCAGAGATCTCTAGAGCCATATCAACAATATGTCTCGTGATATCATATTTTTCTACACCCACTTTAAATGCACAATCTTTTAGAGTGAACCATGTCACACAATGAAAATGCATGCACAAATTTAGTATTGTACTTGGTTTCCAATCATGTTTTAATGGATCACTGTACCATAACAGTAGCACAATATCAGCCATGACAACCATAAAGCTACTTCTAAGTGCTACTAATGTAAGCAAGGCATGCATATACAAAATAGTTCCAAAAAACAATACTGACCATTGACCAGCTAATTGATCAGCTTGAATAGATGAACTCGAACTTCCACCGCTGCTATCATAATTAAAGTAGGAACCATTCCATAACTTTTCATATACGGCCTTTGCTTTTTGAAACTTAAGCCAAAAATAATCTTCAGAACCCTTGTCACCAACTTCATGCGCCAGTGCTGATGCTGCCTGAAGTGCTGCCGCCCACAGTCCACCACTATACGCACTCACGCCAGACACAGACCATGTGTCATAAGTTTGATCAGGGAAGCCTTCATTTTCAATCATTCCATCACCATCCTTGTCAAATTGGTCCATATAAGCAATTGCAATATAAACAGCTGGCCAAACAGCTTGCGCAAACTTCTTGTCACCAGTAGCAACTACATCCCTATAAATCTGGAGAACAAATTTTGGATTCAAGTCTTTCCACCTATCTGTGTTATAAAGATTATATCCATTTACTTCAAACCATGGATCATTGATTCCAATATCATGAGGAACAGCACCAAGAACCTTTCTTTGTGCCCATTGGCCATCATGTAGAAGTTTCATCTTACTAGGGTCATGCATCAGCACTGCTGCAGCGAAGTCTCTTTGGATGCTAAGTTCAAGTTTTGGAAATAGCATGACTAGTGCAAAAGAAGAGTAAAAGTGGACATCGTAGGTGTTCCACATTTGATACTCAACGCCTTCCAGATAAAGAAACTGACCAATGTTTTCTTCCCCTTCTTGGAGCAGATTTACTCCAGATGCAGACTTTGATGCAGGTGGAGAGTGTGTTTGCTCAACTACTGAGCTAAACATTTCAAGAATGTTGATAGCGGTATCATTTTGATGTGATAAATTATGTTTATTATCTAAACCAGATATGAATCCATCCAGGGAAAATTTTCTTTCTCGTGTTTTAACTAAACTACGCATGGGAGGTGAACCATCTGCAAAGGATAAAAAATATCAAAGACAAATTGAAAATTGTAACCCACTGTCATCTAAGCAAGGTTTTAAAAGGAAAATAAACTAGAGTTATTAGCTGATAAAATCCAATATTTTAAGAGCTCCAAATACCTGTCCAAATTGTTCCCCCAGAATTCAAATAGTAAAGTTCATTTAAAAGGGTAGTTGGGTACCTGCACAAAACTCTAAAAACTTCAGATTTTGACTGTAGGAGCAGGCAGTGAATAAAGAATTGAAGATTACCATTCAGGAAGTCTTTTGTCCTCAAGTATTGGTCTTTGCCAATCATCAATCTGAGCCTCCCATTGGCAATGTTCTACATCACAAATTCATAGAAGTTTCAATTAAGTCTTTTATGGTATTAACAAATTCATGAATGAGGTATGCCTCTGCATGGTTTTTTGTCAACAAGTGTAAGGTGGGAAATGCATCCAAATTTGACATCAAGATAAACTCTATCCACAATCTGGCTTTACAAAAATCTAATATGTATATAGTTATGATTGATATCAAATTTAGATGCAATCCCCACGTTACAAACACAATTTAATGGAGTTCGGCAAAGAATATTACCAATAAGAGCATCATGTGCAATATCTGCAGCAGCATCTCCATTAGTACCATAGAATTTAGTGTAACGCCTGCTAATCAAGTTTATTAGTTATGTGTAGCCTTCAAACAAGAAATATTCTTATACATGTTTTCTACCACCTACCTGTAATATGTCCTTCCTTCAGAAAACTTGACTTCAGGACAGTCCCATGCCAAAGAAAATGTCACAATCCGCTGAGCATCAGAGGGAATAGTCAAAGTTGCTGCAATAGCTGCTCCAATAGATGATCCTGGTTTTGAAGGCACAGTGGTTTCAGCAGAATTCAGATGGTCAAATGACCCATGCTGAAAAGAAAAAAGGTACCATAAAGCAGTTTAGAGAAATATTATAAAGCAAGCATATGGAAGACAGGAAGTTTAATATCCTCTAACTTACATCACTATCAAATAAACTCACAATGGCAGCTATTCTTTAGGAAGGGAAAAGAACGAGCATCATTACACCACCAACTAAAAAAGCTTCTTAAATTTCATTATTAATGTTTCTTAAGGGACAAAGCACACATAAATCCCATTATCACTCTGAATCCAGAAAAAGGGCAAGCTAAACAGAAAAGAGAGTTACTATCTGCATCATCATTATCTTCATTTAATCAGTTCAACCATGACATAGCAGTAATATTATATTAAGTTGCAGATTTTTACTTCTTTAAACTTCATATAGGTTTGCAACACGTGCATCCTTGCAGAGCCAATTTTTATGTTGAGTTTCTATAAACAACTTGAAATATGAAAAACTGAATATTATTTATGATAATTCAATTGTATAAGGCTGATGACAATATATACAGGTTAGAGGAAATTAAAGCTAACCTAGGAATTACAAGCAACAAATATGTTGAGATACAAACAAGTTCCACATCGATAAAATAAGAGAAAAAATAACAACTTATAAAAATATACTCATATTCCAATGATTGGGATGCCTTTTGGGTGATGACCAAAAGTAAAACCGTGAGGGCTTAGGCCCAAAGCGAACAATATCTCATCATTGTAGAGTTGTGTATAAAAATAACTCTTATAAAATATCCCCTCAGATAAATATCATAAAATAATCCCATCAAAATATGACCCAATTACAAGAAATAGACAACCTATCCTAATTGCAAAAAATAACCAAAAAAATCCAAAAAAATCACCTAACAAAAAAACAGAAAGATAGGAAATAATACTCTGGTGCAACACTCCCCCTCAAGCTTTTGAATGGATATCTATTATTCCTAATTTGCCAAACTGACATCCAAAAGGGACATATGCTATTTCTATAAGACCATTATTCAGTTTCTCCTTGATTAAGTGTTGATTATACGTTTTGTCCAATTTAATGGCACATGTAGTCACAAAATAGCGGCATGGGAATTTCATATTTTATTATGATGTCATCAAGTATAATAATCTTCATTGGACAGCAGATGCATGAGACCAACAGGACCCAATACTCCTCTTCTAAGTAAATTACGAAATACCTCATTCATTAACGCCTGAAATATAGATGGGGCATTCATGAGCCCAAAAGGCATTACGAGATATTCATAATGTCCTTCATGGGTTCTAAATGTTGTCTTAGGGATCTCCTCCTCCTTCATTCAAACCTGATGGTAGCCGGATTTGAGGTCTAGCTTGGAAAAGAACCTCGCTCCATGTAATTCGTCCAATAATTCCTCAATTATAGGGATGGGAAATTTATCCGAAATTGTGGCTTTATTAAGAGCCTTATAGTCCACACACATCCTCCATTTATTATTTTTCTTTTTGACCAAAATCACAGGACTGGAGTAAGCACTGTGGCTATGCCTTATGTGTCCAATTTTCATCAACTCTTGGACTTGCTTTTCTATTTCATTCTTCTGGTAGTAAGGATAGCAGTATGGCCTAACCTTAATGGGCTCTTGTCCTGGCTTTAGTATTATTTGATGCTCCTTGGAAAGCATTGGCGGCAAACCTCTTGTTTCAGCAAACACATCCTCAAAACCCTCCAATACTGCTTCTAACTCACCACACTATTTCTCTGACAGCCTTGTGTCTTGCATTTCCACATTTTCTCCAATTATTCCTTGGAGAAATGTTGCTAATGATTCTTCACAATTCACCCCTTTCAACATTTTAGTGCCCTGATTTGTGGAAATCCTCATAGTCTACTTTCCCCAATCAACCATCATTTCGCCCAATGAAGCTAACCATGTCATACCCAATATCATGTCAATATCTTTCAAATCGAACAGCACTGCATTCATCTTAAATTTCTCCCCATCAACTTCAATTTCGATTCCATGAAAAACTCCTTGAGTTATAGTCGTATAACCATCACCCATCAAAATACACATGCTTTTGGTGGACTACCAATCCCATCCCATAGCCTCTACCAAACGCTTCGAGATGAAATTGTGGGTTGCCCCACTATCCACAAGTAAGAAGAGAGGCAATTCGTTAACTTTCCCTTTCAGCTTGAGTGTTCGTGGGGGGGGGGGGGGTGTGTCGTTCCAGGCTCAAATCAAAAAGACTAATAACACTACATTCCCCCTCGCCTCCTTCCTCCTCATCCTCGTAAGCTCCTTCAGCCACGTATTTCTCTTCCTCACACTCCACAAGTAATTCATTGTCCATCATGATGACCCTTAATTGTTTAATAGGGCATTGGTGCATTGGGTCATAAGTGCCCCCACACTTGAAACAAAGGCCCTTTTGCCTTCTGTCTAATAGCTCCTGATAGGCCATGCATTTGGCCCCTCGGTCACGAGGCCCTTGCTTATTTTTATCTCCTGGGTCATTTATGGAATTTGGGCCTGGCCCATTTACTCCTCCACAGGTTCCTTGTTACTTCGTGGTGACCCATTTCAAAATAGTTGGGTAATTTTTGAATCCCGTTTGACCTATCCCTACCACACGCGACTCCTTTTTTTCTGCCATCCTTTATTTCTCATTCCGATCTCTGAATCTATTGCTTTGGCAGCATTCATTAGTTTTCCCCTTGTTAGTGGAACCACCACGTGCAAGCTCCTGAGGTGAGCTCAAGTTTCTTCGCGCAACCCATGGGTTAAATAGGAAAAATATTGATCATCATGTAATCTAGGTACCTGTGCTACCAACCTCTCAGAAGTCTGGATGTACTCCTCAATGGTTCTAGACTGTTTCAACGACGTGAGTTGATCGAACACACTCCCCTCATCCAAACCACCATATCTATCCAATAACTCCTTCAAATCGTCCCACGTAAGCTCCTCGTAATCATTCAATAATGCTTTGAAAAAATGGATTGTTCCACCCTCCATGCACAACTGAGCGAGATTCACACGCACCGCTTTGCTAGTTTCTTGTATCTTGAAATAAATCTCTGCCCAAGATATCCACCCAGCTAGTCTTCCCCGTTAAATGAAGGAACTTCGATCTTCTTCACCAATTGGTGAAATTCATCAAGAGCTTCACCCTCCAAAGGTTTCATCCCGGCACTCATTCCAGGTTTCTTTCCCCCACTAGACGATCCTTTCTTTTTTATCGAACCCTCTCCCTCATCATCGGAATTTTTGTCGAAATGACAAGTCATGAGCTTTGACTATGTTTCCTTTGCTTCTCGTCTCGTCATCTCCTGAAGTTCCTCCAAAGACACTTGCATCCGAGCTATTTCACTCGCCATCAGTCCCACTCGAGCTTCCATATCTTCTTTAGTCGTTGGTTCCTCCGATTTCGATTAGTTCCCTTTCTTCCTCGGTGGCATTCAAAGTCCCCACGACTTATCTGATAGGTCAGACCAATTAATAGATACCAAACAAAATAATCAACAAACCAAAAATGAAAGAGAGAAATGTATGTGATAAAATGGTGGATGTTGTATTTAAGGAATACGTAAGAAACGAAACTCAAAAGAGGAAAATCTCCTCTACCAAGAGCCAAGCTCCTAATAGCACAACCATAAAGGTTCTCTATCCAAAACAGTGAAAAGTAATAACCGAATGCCCTGCCCATAAAGTGTGATTCTCTACATATCAAAATATTCCCTCTCTCTCTCCTCTAACAACCCTGAATAACCCTCATGCCCTGTCAGCATTCTTTTTCTTCCTCCACTCGTACACAATCCACGATTTTGGGCCCCTTTTTTCTTCATGGGCCAATGGTTCTAGTGATCCATGATGAACTTGGGCCTTTTCACACCCACAAAGACTGGCAGCTTCCCCTTGGCCCAAATATGTGCTTCCTCCATCTCAAGTAACACTGGCTCTCCCACGAAGATCCGACAAGTCAGACCAGCTTATTAGGAATCAAGTCTTGAAAAGGATAAAATGAACAAAATATAGGAGAGAAATCTCTCCTCTAAGGGTTTCCCCTTCACAAAGAATTATTCCTTTCACAAAGCTAAAGCTCAATCTACAAATGAAAAAATCTAAATGAATTCCCCTCCCCTTCAATCCTCCTATTTATTTATGCCACTGTCACTGACTCACTATAACATTTTAACTAACTCCCCTTTCTCAAAGTCCTAACAATTATATAAATATATTGAAAGGCTACTAGCAAATGAGGAGGATAAAGATAAGACAAACAATGAGTTGCCAATTCAAAGTTGGAAGCCTCTTTGGTTTGAAGGTAGCAATAAGACAAAGGACTACCTTTGCTCCTAGTATCATGCTGTAATCATGTAAATGGCAATGCTAAGAAGTCTACAATGGCGGTGAGCTCAAGAAGTTGATATTTAATTTTGATTGAATATTTAGTTGCTTTAGCCTCTAAGCCTTGAAGTCTTAAACATGTTTGATTTGATTCCTTTGTTGTCTTTTCCGTAATTCACAATTTAACATGTGTATTTGGTTATGAAATTTTAAGTTTTATTCGTTTATTATGAATATTTTTTAATTTTATGTGATTTTTCTTTATCTTTCAGCGTGTATATTTACATAGATTGTGTAATATAAATCTACATACGGATCAAAAGAGCAGTCATTCACACTATCCACTATCCTGCTATAACATTGAGCATTGAAAAGTTTATAATTCAATCTACTTGGCTCTCTAAAATTTTCCCAACACAACCTACTTCGTAACCAAATAATAACAAAGAAGAAAAAGATGCCCAACAAAATAAGTGGTGATCCCACTCAAGACCTACAAAATTATCTAGCAAGTAGCAAATCATTTTCTAATTTTAATATTTAATAATTACAGAAGAATGAAGATGGCAAGCTTAAGAATGACTCACCTCAGCAGATTCAACAGTTTCATTCTGATCTGGCAATTGAAGTGTGACCAACCCCCCAGCTTTTCTATTCTTGCCCCTCCCACTAGCTTTACGCACTATACTTACAGTATAGGAGTAATTCTTTCCTCTACCAAAAACTTTATCGAACTTTGGAGCCTCCCACCCTAATTTCTGGCATAGTTGATGAAGAACAGCCTTTGGAATTTTTTGAGGGTCCCCCTATTAATATTAAATTATAACATGCAGGAAATAACTACACTCAGATCATAGAAAGATATTTATATATATATACACACATATATATATGTGCACAAGAACGAATGAACAAATTATACAATGTTATCCACCCACTGCTCAAAACAAACAACGAAGTTATTTCAAAATCACTATTTTATGAAAGAAAATTCATTAAGATGAAGGGAGAAAGATTACAAATAAAAGGGACGGTAAGGATTAAGGAATCTTCCTAAGCAAAAAAGAAAAACAATGGAGAAAATCTGCACAGCTCCTCATCATAACTGTTGGTGAAACCACATTAAAATGGTCATTTGATTTGCATCAAATCATATCAAAGCCAAACAACTAATCGTATCCCAAATCAAGTGTTTTTAATTTAAATATAGGTTCTGGTGGCATTTTACTATTTTACAAATTGAAAAACTTTTTTCTGAAAAACAATACATGAAGGTAAACAACACATGCAAACCCTTGAGAATAGCCCATCCACTTTCCTGGTTATTTTTGCTTTACTTTAAACAAGACATTTTCATATCCATCCATGCACCCTCCCACTCCCTCTCTCGACCAAACAATTAATGTGTTTTTTTGAACTCTGGTGAAGCAAAAGGATTGAGAGTAAATGGAAGACGTGAATTATATTAAACTCCATTCATCAAGATACATGAAATGCAACCTACAAAATTACCTTCTTCCAAATGCCATCTAATTTATCCAAATTTTTCTCAGATGCTCTTTTAATTTTTTCTTGTTTTTGTACTTTCAAAATATCAGGAGGTAATATTTCACAAGATGGAACATCCTCCAAGAAGAAACCACCAAGCTCAACGTCTCCAACCTCTCCTTCAGCTGAATTTTTTTCCACATGTGCAACTGGTGAACCAGACTTCACAAGATGTTCCACCATGCTATGTCCCTCCACATCACTTCCACCAACTGCTGTTTCGTCAGAAGCCAATCCTTCAGTATGACATGGAGTTTTTTCTTTAAAGCAATCAACAGGCTCATGACCCATGGATGCTCTCTCAGATTTAAACTTAAAACTGATTTCATGCTCATGTTCTAAGGCCAAATTGTCATCAGATAATCCTGCAAAATGTATTAGACAATCAAATGAGACAATTACAGTTCACAAAATATTGAAATAGAAAATGAAATTCAAACTAACCTAGAGCAGACAACTCTTGCTTCAGTTTCCGGATGATATGGCCTGCCTGCTCCTGACGTTTCTTGTCCCTTTCTTTCTTGGCTTTTGTAGCTTCCAACCTTGCAGCGAGATACTCCTTAGCAATAACATCATATGACCTAGGTTCACAGGGCTATCAAGATAGAAAAAGACAAGATAAACTCATCACTCATCAGAATTAAATAAATAATGTTACATTATTCCTTCACAGCTAATAGAGACCAAACAAAAAAAGACATTAAACCCCCCATCCTCTTAAATGAAGATATAGAGACCTGAAAGACAATCAGTATATATATGTTATCTTTGGGTTGATCATACTACCCAGAAAACTTTACTATGGGAGCAAACAACCAATTAAAGTAAGAAGCTGCATCAACTCAATATCATTAACAAATGGCCAATATGAAAAGCCACAGGACTTGACCAATTACTGTGGAAATTATTAATAGCAGTTTGCAATAATGCAAGTAATAACAGACAATATGAATGACAAGAAATCAAAGCAAGAAAACAACTTATCTCCAAAACATTACTTAAAAAGAGGGGGAAAAAACAAAAACAAAGGATATGTATTAAGCTTACGGGGGTGTTTGGTCATGGAAATTTTTTCATGTCTAGGAATCATATATCCTAAGAATCATAAGTCCTAAGAATCATGATTCCTAGGGATGATTAAAATCTGTTTAGTTGGTCATAAATGTTTTAGGAATATTTATAAATGTTCACTAGGAATCAAAGACTTTTACTGTATTAAATAAGCAAATAAAGATAATATGATATTTTTACTACATTAAAACTTTTCTTTTAACTTGGAAATGTTAGTTTTCCACCTCCTCCCATGGAAAGAATTTGGTGAGAAAACTGTATAAAAAACATCCCTAGGAAACAGTATTTCCTAGGAATGTTATTTTTTAAATAACAAATCAAACATGGAAAACTAACATATCCATTTAGATTCCCAGAAGAGTAAAAAAAAAAAATGTGTATCAAACACGCCTAAAGTTAACACTATGAGCATAAGCTTGAATTTGTAACATCCTAACCAGAATAACACTCCTTCTGGTCCTTTTTAAACGAAACAAATAATAAATTCATTAGGTACAACAAAAAACATTTAAATCAATTAATATTAATTAATAATGTCCTAAATTTAAAATTTTTGTAAGGAATACCCATAGAATTAAATTGTTTAAGTGGTGTCTTATATATTTAATGACACTAACTAAATCACTCTTAATTCCAAACCTAGATTTCCCCCCCCCCCCC